CGCGGTGCGCTAACTCTTCGAGTTGCTCGACGAACCACGAGACGCAATCACTACCGCGACGGCTTCGAAAATACGATAATGACTCGTCATACGAGCAATGTAAATAATACGCTATGCTGAATACCCTATGATGCTGATACGCGTGCGATTTGTGATCCTCTCCCTCCTCGCTTGCAGTCTTCTGTAAGATGCATTCCAGATCGGCATACACGACAAACGGTAGACGCTCTTTCCTGTTGTGGTTGCAAAAACTGAGCCATTTGTCGTCCTCGCTAGGCAGCAGGATGGCGCAGTCGTTCTTTTCTTCACAATCTATATGGACCTGCAACCTTTCGCACGAACTAAAATAGTGCAAGCATCTGTAAAAAAAAACATTTTAATTAATATTCATTTCAAAAAATATATATATAATGTTATTTTACAAATTTTATACGTACCGGCTGCAGATATATTTCTTATGATCATGTTTGCTTAGTTGCGAGCTCACAAGTCGAGACAAGTTTTATATCCATATAAAGTATCTAACGTTATCATCTTGCGGATCTGACAAGTACAACATGTTGACATGTCTGTCCATCTTGCGGTCAGTGAGACGTATCGGATGGATCACATGTGTCGTTTTTCCTTTTTCTGTTTTCTTCTTTTCAGCACTGTACACGTTGATGGATATATTGTTTTGTTGCTCGAAGTTTGTTATTTGATTTACAGACATTGGAAACTCAATGTTCTGTAAATTGAGCACTGTTGTATAGTGTGGGTAAATGGATGCACGATTTGCGTTTCTATCGACTGGATACAGAGCCGCAACCACTGCCCACGCGAAACACGCATTGTCACCAAAATTAACGTTGATTACCGCTTTCTTGATGTGTATCTCGCGCGGTAACTCAATGTGGCACTCCGCACGCATCGGATTGTATTTGTTCACATTGACTGTTAGGTTGAGTATTCGCGAGAATGCCCATCCGCTATCACGTTCTTGAAATTCTTCTAAAGATGCTAAAGTGGGCTCGATAACACGTCGCTCATACCACTCTTCGAGATCGGATGCGCGGAAGAGTTCAAAGTTTTTGTGGTAATACTTTTGTTCGCGTGTTTATCACCCGTGACAAACTCACCATTAAATGCGGTGTTCACTTTTACACTTGCGTGTCTTTCCCTAGCGTTTTGCACATGTTCAAGCACTATGTCCTTCGCATTCTGAAGAAATCGGAGAGGTTCGATAAAATTTACATTTATAACCGCACCAGTTAATACGCGGCTATTGAAAGCAGTGTCT